TCTATGACCTGTTCATGCCGGAGATGGACGACCGTGCATATGCTATCAGTGTATAAAGTGATTAAACCTGAAGGAAAGGGAGTGTTACATTTACTGGCACCAAATTTGGCTCTTTCATGTCTCTCTTTTTCGTTGTAAAAAAAACATAAAAAGACAAAGTTAAGGTTTTAAGAATTAGATATCCCGGTTCCAATTCTCCTTTCCCCTTCTCATCACTTCTTAAATTTTACCATCCTTTTGTTAGATTTTTTTTTAAAAAAATTGAGGAAGTCTAGATTTAGTGGATTGAATCTCCAAAATTTAGAGGTTTTGCATTCAAATCTCGCTAATCCTCGCCGCATCTTAAATCTCACTCTTTTTCTGTTAAAACGAATTAAAAAAGAAGACCTAAAATGCATGCAAATAAACCATTTATGTATTTGTACTTTTAGAAGGTCTAAGTTTTGATACGCTTAGTACAAAAAAAAAAAAAAAAAACATAAATCTACTGTTTACGTAGATCGAGCCAACTCAATTAGGTTTAGGTTTGTAATACTGTTGGGCATCTTCAAAATTGACAACGTATAATCCGGGCAATTTTATCATTCCGAATATATAAACTGCTCGCATGCTACTTCTAAGTTCTATCTAGTGGTACTAATTAATATGTTACTTTCTCTTGTAAACTCATGGAGAGTAGTGAACTTAGAGATTCTTACAAATTTCACCTATTAACTTCTGTAACTAAGATTGATTAATAGAGCTAGAAACAAATTTATCTTAAGAAAGCAACTCAAGAAAAAGTAGAAAGGATGGAAAGAAAGGAAGTGCCAACATGAATGTTGAAAGGTGGCTCTTCTTTTATGGCTTATTTTCTTGTTCCTTTCGTGGGCTGCATAGCATTAAGCCCCATCTGAACAGAAAATTCACTGTAACAAGAAAGAAACAGGTTACTGCAGATACTCCATAAATTATTGGGACGGTAAACAAGAGCTTCGGGTCTACTATTTGCGTATTCTATTACTTGCAATAATTGGTTTCCAGAAATAGCTGAAAATCAATAAAGTTTCTAGTTTCTAGTTTCGTAAAGATAACACTGCCGTACCAGATCATGGTACCCTTTTTCCGTCTTAGAGCGATTTCAAAGCGTCCGATAAGTTCAATCTTTTCCTAATTTGTGTCATACGCAGCCCGCACTATTTAACACTTTCATGGTTTTTGTCTGCTCCACCAGTAACATCATTGAAATCGATGTGCACCAACAATTATTCCAGTCACAAAGGAGTTTATTTTTTTTTGGACAAATTATCTTTTATTCGCGTGTGATGTGATGTTTTATCACATAACTCTCTTACGGTTTAAAAATTTATATACTGCCCCTCATAGTTTAGGTTAATCTGTCACCATTAGTTTTCTTGTTAAAACTAACCGTAAGTAGTAAAAAATCATAATCAAAATAATAAATTGTCAAATTTTTCCTTTCATTGTTTCTTCTTTTTGCCCTCCAAACATAAAAAAGAAGAAATTGAAATAAAAAATAAATAAATAAGAACTAAAAAACACCATTTAAGATTTGGTTTTAGAACTTATAATGATATTTGTAGTCAAAAAAGAATTTGGTATTTTTGTTTCTTATTTATTTGTTTTATATCTCCCTTCCATCTTTTTTGTTTGTTTTTTTTTATTTCCCTTCCATCTCTTCTGTATTTGCAGAAAATTAAGATTTTGTAGGCCAAAGTATAGGCTTTCAAAATCATCTCTTCTCTTCCCAAAAAAAAAAAAAGAGAGAAAGAAAAAAGAAAAAAAGTAATAAAAGAGTGAAATTTTCAATTTATTACCTCGACTTGATTTTTTACTTTTGACCGTTAGTTTTAATGAAAAAACTAATGATGACACTTTAACCCAAATCATCAGGGGTTTATATATAAGTTTTTAAACCACAGGGAGATTATGTAATAAAATACCAAATCATAGGGGGTAAAAGGTAATTTATCCTTTTTTCATATTTCAATTTTTTTTCCTTGTGATTTCGAAGAACGGGAAAAGAAAACACCAATATATTCTTCTATTCTTGGTGTAGACATTTTCCGCTAGAAATTTTGATTCCATTTGCCCTCAGAATCGGCATACTGTAGACATGGATTCCTTCGCTGCTCTACTTCCACTATTGAGCCATCTTTCTATGTCACCTGTGAAACGATATATATTTCAGAGTTCAGACAGTTGAGGGGAAGAACTATTTGTGCTTCCAAAGTCCAATCACCATAAATCATTTTTTCTAAAATAAAATTTCTAGGAAGGAAGAGGTGTGATTTAAGAAACGGAGAGGGGATAGAAGGATTAAAACCTATAACCTCTAAACTCTACGTTCTGAAGCCTTAACCACCATAAATCATGTTGAATAGTATGAAATGGAGAGTGACTAATGTATATCTCAACTTGTCTGAATACTGCAGACTTCGTCTTGAATCTTTATCTGGATCATTTTCAAGCTCTAGGCGCTCCATTCCTATCCTCGACAGCAACTTGTAAATGGCGGCTCTCCTTGCATGCATGTCTTCTTCAATGGTAGTTTGATTGGATGAATGCATGCATCTTCTTCCTGAATTATATGTCATCTTCTCAAGCCAAGAGATTTTTACAAAGTATTTGCATCATCAATAGAATTCAATGTCGACAAGGGTGCGAATAATCAGTTTCTTCCTTCTTATATTTGTCGTTTATTCTATTATGGAAGATAAATACACACGTCAAGCTTTTCCTTATATTTTTCTGTTTTAGAAAATGAAAATTCAATAATAGTCAACATTCTAAAATGCACCTGTGATAGGACAAGACTGAATTAGCACCATTTATTTAAAGCATCAATCTTTTGGCTAAGCGGTGCCTATTTGTTAAAAGGGGCCTTATATTTTACATTCGAAAAATATAGTTAATTTGAGAAAATGAGGGTGCAAGAATTGTGATTGCATGTATTCACATGCTAAGTTGAGTGTGATTTTGATATACTAACGAGTGCCCACCGAGCACTTAGTAAAAAAAAAAATTCAACATAAAAAACTGGTCTTAACTATGGCATATGAAATCCAAGATTTTCTGAATATCAATAAAATTTACCACTTGATTTCCCCTTTGTCTCTTTTGACCCTTGTGTCATCATAAAACCAAACTACTACCCTAATTACGATGAACGTACTAACGGCGTAAGTAGAGGAGTGATCCAAATGGATTTTAATGCTGCATTATCTTAACAACAAATATAAAAGTTATTCGACATCATAATTTTATGTTATTACTCGCAATTCTTCCTTTACAGCGGCCAGCTATGATATAGAGAGAGGATAGTCATCATAGAAAAATTCAAAAAAGGAGACAGTGAATAAAGAAATCTTTGTCTCACGATGATGAGATGCTTTTATTGTCGCAATGAAGTACGGTGGATATGGACTCTTGATTACCAATGATGAAGATTGATCTATCAAAGGAGAAAAAGATACTCATTTGATGTTCATATTATGCAAAAGCGAAATAAGAAGAAAGGGGGAGGAATAAAAATTCGTGGTCGAGATGGAGAAGTAGTTGATATCAAGATCCCATCAACCCCAATTCTCCAATCAGAGAACAGATTTAGTGGGTGGCCACACTCCCTATTTCCAGCTGGAGGGAATAGGGATATCCTAAAGCGAATGAATTATTGGATATAGCGTGTTTTATTGGTAACATGGGGAATCTGGAGACTGGAAAATCTACAAAGATGGATGAAAATAGGCCATGAAGATGAAGGGATGAATTGATCTTGACGGATCTTATACTTCCCACTTTATTGATGGAGGAATAGTCTGTAGTCAAAATGGACACACATCACCAATCTTCCTCGCCATCCGTTCATGTTCATGAATTAGCTTTCTCAAATTATGTATTGGTTGTGGGATTAGATGAGGGGTCCAAATGCCAGATCAAGTCTTGTTGCGAAAATACCATGCAACTGCTACAATTTGGAAGCTGGCATAATCCCTCCTAACCTTAATTCACAATCATTTAGCTTCTTTATTACCTTGTCCTTTTCTTCTTTTGGTTGTTCCAAAAAGAAAAAGAAAAAAAAAAACAAGGGCTTTAATAAATAGCTTTCGCCACCCCTTTTTGACCGTTATTCTATCAAATTTACACCATCCCATTTTTTGAATTTTTAAACTCTTTAGGCCAAATGTAAACGTGTCTAGAAAACAAAACTATGAGCGTGTAAAGATGTTATTCCGCTTCCTCTAAATAAAAAGGGATTTGACTGTAGAAAAGTAATGGTTGACAGGTTAGAAACGGGTCAGATTTTGAGACAGAGTTGATAATTAGGCTAGATTTTCTTCTCAAAATCGATATCATTCGAATTTTCTTCGCCGGATGTATATTGGGAAGCGGTTGCGAAAACAAGAGCTCCCAATTGATCTTCCCTACACATCCAGTAAAGAAGAATTGTCTATCAGAAGTACAAAAATGGGAATGAAATCTTCGCAATGGAGATTTTTATCTTAGGCTATCACAAACTAATTTAGCTTAAAAATTTGCTTTGCAAGATCTATATGTGGACTCCAGTAATCTCAGGTCCAACATTATGTTCTAAAGAAACCCAAAAAAGAAAAAGAGAAAAAATCTCATCAAAACAACCCTTTACTCGGCAAAGTGGATCACTATGTGTACAAATTTTTTGAAATATTTACTGGTTAATGATTTGCAAGTTATCCATTTGCATCTGCACTTCTGCAGGCCCAATCCCTCCATTTTACGAACGAGACAAGACAAGATGCTTTCTATATCCCTGACCAAGCCCCTAGTCGACCATAGTCCTGGACATCGACGCTGGACTTTGAAAAACAATTGGTGGTCCGATGCTATGAAGCGCTACTCCCTGGGTACACGCTGAAACCATAGTGTCTTGGGTTCGCTATGAATAGGCAAGCCACACACAGTCATTTTTAAGTAGTTATTAGGCCCATACAAAAATCCACAGGTGTTCGTTTCTGTGTTAACGAGGTAAAAAGGAGAATGAACTCGTTTCTGATTGGAAACCTACAATTCAATGGTAAGTACAAACTGATGGCACAAAAGTTCAAAAAAAAAAAAAAAAGAAAGGGCCAGAATTCTCTCGTCTCCTTTTGCTTGGCTGCACAACAAAGAGACTAATAACAGAAAGCGGACGAGAAATCCTCTAGCTGAAGCAATGACAACTAAGTTAAGATCAACCAGATACAACTACGTTCAAGAATTAATCTGATGCATGTCCATAACAAATGGCACAGTTCAGATAATTACCCTATACCCCGATGTCATATGAGCAAGTTGGCTAGTTTAATTGAACAAGGGGCAAAAGTACCAGGTCCAATTAACACCTTTCCCATCCTTCGAATTTTACCCGCCAGACCAAAGAAAAGGCACAGGTTGTCATATGCTTAAAACGCAGAGAGCATCATCATTTTGGGCTGAGTTTGGAGTAAATGGACACTCTCAGGCCCTCTGTTCATAAGAATTTTCAAGAACTTGGACCCCAGGTCCATATATCAAACGGCAACGGTCATTAAAGGAACCAACTAGTCGAGACACCACCTCCTTAAAGAACATGTTTGCCATCTGTCAAGCAGAAGGAAAATAAGAAAAAGTATACCAAACTCAAACCTCCAGCTTATGATATAAGTCATGAATTTCTGCAACTTCTTTAGAGCAATATCTCCTTTAATTACTGAATAACACAAATGTTCAAAGAAAAATTGCTTGTTTTGAAAATTTTAGTGTCATTGCACCCGTAAAATTTCTCGATCAATACTCATTAAACACGGATTATCAAGAACAACCATGGAAACTAACCAGATACCAAACCCAGATTTTATGGACATAATTTAAACCAATGTGAAGATAAACTCCTCCAAAGTTTCACATGTAATTTCAATCTTGCCAAGAGTAGTTAACTCCATAAAGGAAGCATACCTGTCGATAAAATGGAGATTGAAACTTAAAATCAACCCAGAAATAAAGGTTACAAGTTCCTGGAACAGGCCCGGGATTGAATTGCCAGATGTTTATCAGATGATCGAAAAGAGCACTTTGAGATGCAGTAGTCTGCAAGTAAAATGAACGAGATGTTACAATCTCATCAACTGAAAGTCTGAAAAGATGCTCAGGACATGATGAACATCACAAAGTACAGTAAAAATTCCTAAGACATGCAAAGCAAAACATAATAGAAGCAGCAAACTTCTGAACCAAAAGCCAATCATAGAACTTGTTGCACCCCATTTGACAAATTAGCCTCGGCTTAACATTATGGTTGACTTTTTTCCTTGTTTTGGATTAGATGACAATGAAAGATGTATTTAAGATGCCATACGGCCTACTGTTGATATGAGGTCAAGAAAATATTTAGATTTTAGAGTAATTTATACGGAGCTGCTTTTCACAAGTTGAAATCTCCAGTTCAGGACAGTATATAAGTAATTATAACAGTCACACTGACACTACACTTTGAACATTTTGAAGATGACCTGCATCCTATTTATCAATGTTTCATGAGGGTAAAGGGACCAAAGGCCATTTCACAAGCCACTATGATCCCAGCTAACTTAGATTATTCCACTCATGTCAATCACTAATGTGTCGTACCAGACCAGTTCCATAAATGGGAATACCAAAATATCTCCAATACAAGAACAGTAAGAACTTATGTCTGTACCTGTTAACAATAGAATAAGGCATACCGAAAACTGAAACTTCCAAAACCAAGACATTCACTATAAGAAATTTTCATACCTTTATATATCTTGGCTTGGTCAACTCAACATGGGACATATAACTTTCAACAAGAAACTTAAAACCAATTTCTAGGTCTGCATCAAAAGATCCATCTGGATTGCGCCGAACTATTTCTGATCGTTGACACCATGGAAGGAAATCTTCATACAAGTCAACAGCAGCAACAACAGCAAATAACTGCTCTGGAGAGTATCTAACAGTATTTAGAAAATACAAGTCAGTGCACAAATCATATGATCCTCATAAGAAAAATGTGGGCAAGATCAAATTCTGACATAATGACATAAAAGAAAAACAAATGCATGAAATGGAAAAAAATTCAATGCATTGCAACTAGACAGTTAGGACATAAGGCTATATGAAGATGGAAAAAAACTGTAATAGCACTCGTAAGAATTTGAATGAACAGCATAATGCTGCAAGCCAATCAAAGCCCATTCCATAAGAATAGGCTGTACGTCTCAGTCATTGTCCTTCTTCCACCATAATGAATTTACTTTTGCTCAGCTCACAGGATGCAACTTATGTAAAACTAGATGAAAAAGTCACTTTTTATTGTTTTTTGTTTTTGTTTGGGGGGGGGGGGGGGGACACGCTCTCCTAAAACTCAGGAAGCGCCGGGTTTGATAATATCACAAAGTACAGGATCAACCACAGGATAGATGAAAGCATGACGAAACTAAATCTAACATGAAACCTCAAAACTTTATGGCAGCCAATTATCCGAAAAATGATAAAAATGCCGAAATTAATGTGATAGTTATAGCATGAAAAAACGCAACACGAATATCTAAGGCAGAAATGAAATCTACACCACTTTAGATGATCAGAACTGCCCCGTTACATAACCGCTCTGTGATGCTAAGGTCTACCGCAGCTAAAATAAAATGAACAATCTTTCTCAAACAACTGAGCTTCACTAACGAACTAAGACACAGCTAACAAATCAATCAAGAGTTTAACCGCATTTCAGCAAAACCAAACAAATAAGATGGAAGAAAAAAGGGGGTGAGAGAGAAGAAGATCAAAGATGAAAAAGAATCAAAACCTTACCCTAAAACGCGGCGTTCTTCGTAGACTTTGGATAACATACTCCCTTCTTCACCATCACCACACCCCAAAAATCCTCTCCTTTGCGAAAGACTGGCGCCATTGCAATGACCACAATTGCACAAGCTCCTAAATCCTAAACACGCATTGCTGTGTTGATACGAACCGGAAATCGTCCGATTATTAGCTGGAGAATATGGATTAAAGCCAGCAAAGCTGTTGAATCCTCGAATCTGAAACAAATTCCCCAATCCCGCACTAGTTTTGGAATATCCGCGTCTTATAAATCGTCGAGATACATCTCGACGGGTTGCCAAACACCGCCCTACCGCCTTCGTCGTCAACCCAGACCACGGCATTGTTTCAATTTTATGGCATAATATTCAGCAACTGAAAAACCTAGCTAAATCGGTCGCCTTCATCGATTTCGATATACTTGACCTAATGTAATTAAACATGAAGAACAAAAATATGTAATCAATTTCGGCAAGAATTTACTGTCAAAATCGAAAATTCAGAAGGAAAAAATAGGGAAGAAAAATTTGAAGAGAAAATTCTATGATGCAGAAGCAGAAAGGGAGGAAACGCAAGCAAGAAAGGGGGAGAAAGCAATCGGCAAATTTTGCGATACAATCGTGTGTTGGGTTGGGCCGCTGACCCGCTGGGAAATTGGGCAACTTTTCAGACAGCGGTGGGTAAGGCTTGGTTTGGTCATATTTCTAAGTTTGTCCGAATGTACGTCTGGAAAAATCATCATATACAATAGTAACATTAAAAAAAAAAAAGAAAAAAGGACCAACGTCCATGGCAAAAATGAAAATTGTTTGTAGGTTGGTTTGGTTTATTAGGGATAAGGTTTGTCCAGAACGGATCGAACCGATGTAATTTGAATTAGTATCCTGTGAAGTCTGTGAAATTTTTTTCTTTTTCTTTATTCAAAATTTTTTTACGCTTTAAACTGTTAATGTAAATGGATAATGATCATGGCTTTTAAAGTGATCACTGAGTTTATTTGGATGATTTATTTGATTCAGTTACTGTAGTACTTTTTGTGATGTGATGTATGTGAGATAAAAAGGTGATTGGGAATTGTGCGTATGATGCAAGCAAAACAAAATCTGAAATTTTTATTCCAAATTCTATGTTTTTCTAGTCAAGATACTTGTAGCTAAAATAGGCATTAGTGTTCTCTACTTGTTATTAGTTTGATATTAATTGTTTTATTAGGAATACGATAGGAAGTTGCAGAACAAGTGAACAAGTCAGATTTTAGCAGGTGACCTTACTGCTACTAAGGTGGCGTTTGGTTCGCACATCGGTATTGGATTCGGATTCGGAATCGGATATCTTGGGTTTGGAATGAGATCATTCATTCCAATACATTTGTTTGGTTCAAGTACCTGGAATGTGTATCATTACTATAGTTGATGTTTGGTTCGTCAACTCTTTCGGAATGGAATATAATAAATATATTATAAACCCCATCGTAAATGATAGTTATTGGCTCTTTGTAAATGGGATATAAGAAATATTCACTAATTAAATATATTAGTATAAATGTATTAGTAAATTCAGTCTAACTAATTAATAATTTCTATTAGTAAACATGTATAATTATTAGTATAATGGATAATATTAATTATATTACATAAATTAATATACATTATATAATACATATAAATAATAATAATATTATTATAAGTTTGTAACTAATTAAATTAAATATTATATATATAATTAAATATAAATATACAAATGTTATAATATAATTATATAATATATACAAATATTAATTATAATAATATTTTATATAAATATAATATATATTACATATTAAATATAGTTATTATTATATATTATTATATTTAAAATAATAATTATTATAATTATATAACTTATTAATATTGCATACATGTATATATTATAATTATATGCACATATAATATACATTTATAAATATACATATATATTATAAATATAATATTATATAATATTAATAAATTTATAATATATATTATATAAGTATAATTATATTTAACTAAATAATTATAATATATAATTATATAATACAATAACATCATTATTATAAGTTTATAACTAATTAAATTAAATATTATATATATAATTAATTATAATTATACAAATGCTATAAAATAAATACATAATTATAATTATATAATATATAAATATTAATTGTACTCATATTTTATATAAGTATAATGCATATTAATATTAGATATAGTAATTATTATATATTATTGTATTTAAAATAATAAATATAAATATAAATATAATTTATTAATTTATTAATATTATATACATGTGTATATTATAATCATATGCACATATAATATGCATTTATAAATATACATATATATTATAAATATATTATTATATAATATTAATAAATTTATAATATATATTATATGAATATAATTATATTTAACTAAATAATTATAATATATATTTATATAATGTACTAATATTATAATTATAATATATTATATATATTATATATTATAATATATAATATATATAATATATATAAATATTAATTATATCATTGTATAATTATAATATGTAATTGGATTTGTTTCTTGGAATCAAACTTGGGAATCGGACAAAACCCACCAAAATACTTGGGAATGGAGAAACATCAAATTTTTAGAAATCATTCCAAGATTTCAATTCCCATTCCAGTGAACCAAACACCATTTATGGGGTTCATTCCATTCCCCGAATCCGATACCCTCTTACCAAACGCCCCCTAAGTCTTTGATACAGGTTGCTACTCCACTATCATTTCCTCGTACATGTTCTTCACATAGTGAATTTTAAGAAAATCGGTTAGACTCCTATTCGACCATTTTGTACCAATGCATGTAGCAACAATACAAAAATGAGCATGTTTTTTTTATACACTTTTAGCATACAATTTTGTCTACACTAACAAGTTTAGATCAATGCTACATAACATGAATTTAATTTTGAAATTTAAATCATATATATGTGGTGACATACATCCATAGATAGATGTTAACGTTAAAAAAAAAAAAAAAAATTATTACACTGTCAGAATCCTACAAATATTATTTGGAGTTAATATTTGGATAGAGTGTTATTTGAAATATTATTTGGACTAATTACTGTATCACTTTTTTGTAATGTGATGTATGTGAGATAAAAAGTTGGTTGAAAATATAAAAAGATGAGTTGAAAAATGTATTTATGATGCAAGCACAATATTATTTGGAATAATAATGGTATCCAAACAAACCCAATTGGGAGTGTTTGTATAGAATATTATTTGGAATAATTACTGTAACACTTTTTATGATGTGATGTATGTAAAATAAAAAGATAGTTGGGAATATAAAAAAGGTGGGTTGGAAAATGTATTTATAATGCAAGCAAAATATTATTTAGAATAATTTCACTGTCAATTAATATTACTGCAAGTTTTATAGAAAGTTGGCGATATACCTGCGCTCTTAATTATCTCTATACAAAAGGCACTCTCAACTAAAACAGAGAAGATCACAAAGCCTGAAGAGATATTTGACAAAAATCTGTACAATATTTCTTCTTCTGATTTTACAAAAACAAAAGGCAAGCATACACTAAAACGTCAAAGCAGCTGAATGAAATTAATCAAACAATAAATAAATGAAGTTATGTCAGACATCATAGCACCATAAAATTGTAGTTCATGATTCTATGCAAAGACGGGCTTAAATCTTGTGGAGAGTCTTCAGGGGCTTGTTTTGATTTGTGGCAGTGTCAGAATGATCCATGGCCCTTGCATCTCCTTAACGTCCCTCTAGTCCCTTATGCAGAACTCAGGCTAAGCCTCATGCCATTCTGGTTTGACAATCTTCCTTCTCTCCTCAGCACTGGGTTTGAGGAGGTTTACATCTGTAGTCAAACTACTAATTAGAATCAACTGAAAAATACGAGTTGTAAATTACAATCACAAGAATGTCAATTCTCGTAGTTGATTGCGTTCTCTATCCAAGTCCCTACTCTTTTTGGGAACTATGAACCTTGGAATGATCATCTATAAGAGATAACTTTCCATGAGGTACGACCTGCACAATGAATTTATAGACCTTTATAGTTGTCAGAAAATCTGATTTTTTATTTTCATCTTGCAAGACTTTAGTATGGGATGTACTTGATCATTGGATGAAGCAGTGGCTGCTGACTTTTTTCTGCATTTTTGGCGGCGTTTTCTGCTTTTCTTCTCTTCTTCAGAATCCTCGTCAGCAAAGTTTTGATCAGTCATCTCTGAAAACAACACACAATCACAGACTGTCTAAGTTGGCAGATATAGTTGAAACAAGCAACTACAATTCGTCCTTTGGTTATCAAGTGGATAAACAAATCTCATACCAAATTACCAATAGCATCTCTCTCTCTCTTTTTTTTATTACATAATCATTCTTAAACCACATATCTCTAATTTGAAGCTCAAGGAGCACATCTCCAAGAAGTCTGACACTTCTGAAGTCAACTTCCATATTTTCTTGAAGCCTGTTGAAAGTAGCAAGGTATCTTTTTAATTTTGAATAAATATAGCAATATTGGCATTCAACTTTCCACCTCCAAAAATGGTTTATGATATAGTGAAGTTAAACTTCTGTTTTTGACACATTAACCTTGACCGTGCCAGTTAGCAAACAAAATGGAATCAGTCTCTAATAACAAAAGAGGCTGTAAACTCTATTCAATGTAAACAAAATAGCAGCAGTGTAGCAGCACTCACTGTGAAGGAGTTAGAGCTTTTGTAAACTGGACCAAACTAAGATGATAATATACCTGTATTGCTGCCCATAGAATCTTGGCAGCCAAACGGAAACGCAGTTGGATTGGCAGTAGTAGATACAGGAGCTTGTCCTTGGAAGGTTCTGGTCTGGTGCCTGCACGAGGACCTGTAATGTTGAATCCAGGGATTTGCCAAAACAGGGTCAGATTTCTGTGCTTGCTTTGGTCGTGCCATTTCTCTCCTGTAATTGCTGAAATTGACTCTTGCCCAAGAGCCATCTTTGAAAACCTTGAACTAATTTTTAAGACCAAAAAAAAAAAAAAAGCAATGTCAATGATCACATTTCAAAGAATAACGTAGATATTCCGAACTGCTAATGCAGCTAGCAATCATTAACGAGTTATTTGATCAAACCTGGCCAGAAGGAGTAGCAACACCATCATTCATTTGCCCCCAGTTTTTAGGTTCTGACAAGGATTCTTGTTGGGAGAAACCACCCAATGTATCCAACGAATCATACAACTGGTTAACAAATGAGGCCTCCATCGAATTAAGATACAAGCTGTGTTTCTCGTCTGTCCACTGTGTGGATTCTGATTCTGTTTCTTGAGATTCCTGAATGCAATAAACTGAATCAGAACAAAATAGGAATTTAAACTAAAGACTCATCAGCTCCAATCAGTTCAAAAATTAATTTCTTGTTTCTTGTCTCTTTAATTCATAATCTTTATTCTGCTGATCGAAGAAGCCACTTAGACTAGTAACCCAAAAACAAGGTAGAAGTAGAGAAACTCCACCGCCTTTTGAAACCTCCCAAAATAGATTCTTTTATCTATGAGCGTATGACAAATTAGATACCACCAGCTTGATTTTGGATCACCAAACAGATAGAATCCTTCAACTGACAACTAAATCTTGAAAAATAATTA